AGCATTATGCTAAGTGAAAGAAGCCAGACACAAAAGATTTATTATATGATTCCATTTATAAAAAATAAGCAGAATAGGTAAATCCCCAGAAGAGACAGAGCAAAGATAGGTAGTTACCAGAGGCAGGAAGAAGGGAGAATGAGGGGAAATTACTTAATAGGTATGGGGTTCCCTGGGTGGCTGTTGGTTGAGTGTCTGACTCTTGGTTTGGGCTCAGGTCATGATCTCAGAGTTGGTGGGATCGAGCCCCATGTCGGGCTCTGTGCTGATGGTGCATAGCCTGCTTGGGACTCTCTATCCCTCTCTCTGCCCCTCCCCCACTCATGTTCTCTTGTCTCTCTCTAAATAAATAAACTTAAAAATAATTAAATAGGTATGGGGTTCCCTTTCAGGGTGATAAAAATGTTATGGAACTAAATAGAAAGGATGGTTGCACAACGCTGTGAATATAATAAATGCCCCTGAAATGTTCACTTTGAAATGGTTAATTTTATGTTAATTTCACCTCAGTGACATAAATAAATAAAAAATATATATATTTTTTAATTCTTATGAAAGCCTCTTCATAATAATTCACTTTCATAAGAAAGTGACTGCGATTAGCTTGCTAGAGTTCACTTCCCTCAAGTCACCAGTGAATAAAATAAAAGGTAGCTTATGTTAAACCACAATGGTACCCATTCTGGTCAGAGCATTAATGTTCAGGCTTTCTTTATTGTTTCACAACACGAGTATCTCTAAGGAGAGCAGTATAATCTCCTACTGATGTCATTACCTTTAACTAGATGAATACTGCATGGGGACCCTTATTTTTTTCTCTCCATTGTCTTGTCTTTTCACAGTCCTCCTGAATACTCACAGCCTTGGGCTAGTTCCAGGGGCCTTCTGGAGGCAATTTTTCTCCCTTTGAGTTGCTGGGTTTTATTTATTTATTTAATTATATTGACTGTGAAGTCTTTAAAAGTCCTCAATACTGCTCTATGAAATTATTATGTCTCCTTATGTCTAGCCTATATAAGCTTCATGAGGGCAGGAATCAGGCTGCTTTGGTTTACCACTATGCCGAGCGCATAGCACAACAAAGAAATTTAGGTGCGTAGATTCCCATCTTGGCAGACCTGGGTTTCTTTTTGGCTGTCACAGCACTTGAAGAAAACAGTCTGATGGATAAATTGGTTTTTAGTTTTAATGTTTCAACTCTATCATTATCCTGTGTTCATAGGAAAGGAGACTGACTACAAACCAGCAAATGCTTCTCTAATATTACCATTCTCCTCCACAGTCAAAATACCACCTTGGCTCCCTTACCAACTGATAAAACACATGCTGTTTCTCAACCTCTTCCACCTGCAGCTTTCCGATGCTGCTCGTTCATTACCACCTGAAGGTAAAAATTCTAGGATATATTAATTCAACATGGTTTGAAAAGTGAAATAAATTTTCACTTGTTTCTTTCTACTCAGAATTCAAATTGTTTAATTTGTTGTATTTAAAAAAAAAAACAGACAAAGCATTAAACACCCTCTCACTTCACTTTTTTCTTTTATTCAAGGTGCCTCACTTTTGTTCAGTTACTGACTTCCCAGTAAATGTTGCCAGTACTAGACGCTGCAATTGGACTGTTTTGTTGCTCTACATAAACAGAGCCTTAATCTAGCTTTAAGGCTCAAAGACAGACTCTACAGGTAATAATTACAGACAAGGGTCGTCCCCAAAGAAAAAGATGTTTTGACACTGTTAAGAATCACCATGTGTAGCTGCCTCCTCCTATGTCAAGCACAATACGTGGGAAGAAGACCAATTTACTAGTCAGAGAGTTTCGGGTTTAAGTCTCAGCTCTGCTACTTACTGTATGAGCTTGAGCAAGTTATTAAACAGCTCTGAACATCAGCTTATTAACCTTAAAAAATGGAAATGACAGATAATTCATCAAGTTGTTGTCTGCGTTAAATACATTATTGTATTTAAAGATTACCTGATATATAATGGGCTCTCAATTAACAGTCATTATCATCATTCTATGCCAGATTCATCTTATTGGGATAAAATTTCATTTGTCTCTTGTTTACATACATGCATGCACAAGCACACAAGCATCTCCTCACCTGAATTTCAGGCTTATCTAATAGTAAAACTGTCAAAACAGAAAAGTAAGGGGCGCCTGGGTGGCTCGGTGAGTTAAGTGGCCCACTTCCGTCCAGGTCATGATCTCACGGTTGGTGAGTTTGAGCCCGGTGTCAGGCTCTTGACTGACAGCTCGGAGCCTGGAGCCTGCTAAGGATTCTCTGCTAGGGGATTCTCTGCCCCACCCCCACTCACACTCTGTGTCTCTCTCAAAAATAAATAAACATTAAAAATTTTTTTAATAAAAAAAATTTTTGAAAAGAAAAGTAGGAGAGGGACATCTAGGTGGCTCCGTCATTTAAGCATCTGACTCAAGCTCGGCTCAAGTCATGAGTTCCATGGAATTCTGTCTCCCCTTCTCTCTGCCCCTTCCCTGCTTGCACTTTCTCTCCCTCTCAAAACAAATAAATCAACTTAAAAAAAAAGAAAAGAAAAGAAGACAGACTGTACAATGTACTACAGCCATAAAAACAGGCGTGTTTGTGGGGGTTTTTCCCAAAAATTCTTAATCTATATGAATTCTGTAAGTCCGCACATGTCTGTATTAATTTTACCCATATTTGCCAAATGCTATCCAATTTTTGATGCTGCTTTCCTTGTCACAATCCATAATTTCCACAAATCTACGCCTGTGTTTCCATACGTATGTAGATCCCAGTGGGAAACAAAACCAGATGTAATGAAAAAGAGCATCAAGGAATGTATTATTCAAATGCTGTCTGATTCCTGGGAGACTCAGAAATTATTTTCATAGTAAAATGAATTTAAATCAATTCAATAACTAGTTAGACAATGCCTACTACATTCAAGACACAGGAGAGATCCAAAGATAAATATGATACAGACTGTGCCTTCAAGCAGCTAATAGTCTAGTAAAAACCTGATGATATCAGCCATATAACAGATCTGGTTATTTTTTTTTTTTTAATTTTTTTTTCAACGTTTATTTATTTTGGGGACAGAGAGAGACAGAGCATGAACGGGGGAGGGGCAGAGAGAGAGGGAGACACAGAATCGGAAACAGGCTCCAGGCTCCGAGCCATCAGCCCAGAGCCTGACGCGGGGCTCGAACTCACAGAACGCGAGATCATGACCTGGCTGAAGTCGGACGCTTAACCGACTGCGCCACCCAGGCGCCCCCAGATATGGTTATTCTAACAAATCCCTCATCCCACCATGGCCTGTTCAGTGCATCTCACAGAAATCGTTCAGACAAAATCAGTTGGAAACAGTACAAGTAATTTTCTAGATTCTTTGGGCAGATAATCTTGTTTTAAAGGATAACAAAACATAATAAAGGTTTCTGAATTATCTCTTGTGGCTGGCTCTGTTGTTTGTGTTCACCAGGTAATAACTCAATTATCCTTTTCTATATAGCGGGGACCATTTTATGTGAGACTATAGCAGAGAAGCTTTGGCAAGATTATTTGCACAAGGAGGTATTTCCTTATTTGTACCAAACACGATGACATTTAAGCAATTCAAAGGAAATAAATTTTTACAGTGTGTTGAGTATTCTGTGCTAAGAATTTTTATGTGGTGCACTAGGTAAATTACATGTAAAATAATTTTCCTTAAGAAACAGAATGTTCCTGAAGATACTGTTGTTGAATTTTTTTTTCATCAAAAAAGGTTAATCCAAAATTTGACCTTGTAAACAATACCAGCACACTATGAACCAGACACTTGCAAATCACTGTTGCTCTCTGGTATGCTAAGCCCTCTAGAGAGGAGAAGGACTGGAACATCATTTCCTCTCTACCACTAGGTAACTATTAATAGTCCAGCATTCTAATGAAAACCCTAGTGACCTGGAAAAGTTAATGTGCCTTTCAGTGTCTTATTTATACCCCAAGAATAACTCAGCATCAAATCCAAGATGTATACGCATTTACACACATACACACACACACACACACACACACACACACACAGAGCTCATGGACTTATCCCAATTATTATGAAAGCCAGAAAGAATTACATGGTCTATATTCCTTTTGATTCTCACATTGTAGAGCTGATGATTGAGGACATAGCAAAATACTGAAGTTCTACCAAAAATACCTTTAGGAAAATGATAGACCAAATTTTGGAGATAATTAAAATCCACTAAAAGAAAAATCACAGCATTCCTCCCTTAAAAACTTAATGAAATTCTAAGGTTATGTCAGAAAGTGAAACCAGTTGCATGGAAAATATAGTTTGAAAAAAGTTAAATGTCAGATGTTCCCCAACTTATGATTGTTCAACTTATGATTTTTTTACTTTATGATGGTGTGAAAGCAATACACATTTAGTAGAAACTGTACTTTAAATTTTGAATTTTGATATGTTCCTAGGCAAGCGATATGTGGTGCAACACTCCCTCATGATTGTGGGCACCAGCACGTGGCAGCTCATGGCCAGGGTCAACAACTGATACACTTGCAATCCTTCTGTACCCATACGACCATTCTGGTTTTCAGTACAGTATTCAATAAGTTACATGAGACATTCAACACTTTATTATAAAATAGGCTCTGTGTTAGATGACTTTGCCCAACTGTGGGCTAATATAAGTGCTCTAAGCACATTTAAGATAGTCTAGACTAAGCTGTGATGTTCAGTAGGTTAGATGTGTTAGATGTATCAAATGCTTTTGACTAAGATATTTTCAACTTGTGGTGGATTTATTGAGACATCAGCCTGTCATAAGTTGAGGGAGACCTGTATATATATATTAATAAAATGATAACATAATTATTATTGGCATAAGTGTGTATCATGGTTTTCAAGGTTCTTCCCTTTTTTAGGTGTCCACTTGGACTTCACTGCCCTCGAGAAGACTCTGCTGGTTCTTCTTAGACCAGGTTATGTACCCTTTCATGTACTCCTTACCTTGGTACTTATCAGGTGAGCCTGGCAAGAATTCTGTTAGATAGGTGTAGTTTTGATTGCCATTTTACAGATAAGAAAACCGTGTTCAGAGAAACTGAGTAACCTGTCTCACCAAGATCACAAAGCAGAACCAGGAATCAAACTCCTATCAAATGACTCCAAACCCCATACTCTGGCTGCAGATTACAGGGGAAAAGATTATTCAGTGGGCTTCTCTTCACTTACTCTAAGATTGCATCTACTGAACATTAAGTAGAGAGATGAGCAACTGTCTGTTGACTTTGGGCAATAAACATAGAACATATGGCTAATTACAATAAGAATGTGTTGAGCCCTAATGCCAAGTGGCAAGTGCTTGTCTAGGTGCTCAGTACATTCTCTCATTTTATTCTTAAAACATCCTGTAGCATACAAACAATGGTTATTTCCCTCCACCCATTTCCACATCTTACAGTTAAAGAAACTGAGGCTCAAGGAGGTTAAATAATTGGCCCAAGGTCACACCAGTAGGATGTGACAGAACCAGGCTCTTTACCCAGTTTCTGACTCTGAGTCCACCAGCTTACCCACCACATCTATTACCTACTTCAAGCCCCTCCCCCAAATCTCTTCCTTGGATATTTATTTAAGAGGGGAAATTGTAGGCTACAGGTAAGGGTTGCCCTGAATTATCTTAATAACCATTCAATTCTTCCCTTTTTTAAAAACAGATATAGACACATACTAAGAATTTTTTTTTCAGATTTGGGTTCAAATTCTGATTCAGCCATTTAGTAGACGGAACAACTGTGTTCACATTGCTGAACCTCCAAAATTCAGTTTTCCCCGTTTTTCTCAAATTTTTTTTAACGTTTATTTATTTTTGAGACAGAGAGAGACAGAGCATGAACGGGGGAGGGTCAGAGAGAGAGGGAGGCACAGAATCCGAAACAGGCTCCAGGCTCTGAGCTGTCCGCACAGAGCCCGACGCGGGGCTCGAACCCACGAACCGTGAGATCATGACGTGAGCTGAAGTCAGACACTTAACCGATTGAGCCACCCAGGCACCCCTCAGTTTTCCCCATTTGACAAAAGGAGCTGATAGGACTCAACCAATGGGGTGGTTGCACATAAAGTGAAATGTATCAGAAACCTCCAATTACAGAACCTAGGAGACAGAAGTCACTCAATAAATATCAAACCCAACTCCTTCCCTTCCCCTGAGTTCTAGCTTTAAATATAGGTGTAAATCAAGCACATACTAGATAACAGAAAATTCTTCTTTCATTTGTTAACTCAGTCATTTACCTCAGAACATTGCTTACCTTTCTTGAATCTCTCTAGTTCAGGAGATTTTAAGATGACAGCTTCCTAAGAAAAAAAATTTTTTTAAATTCTATATCTGGATGGCAACAGCCCCTTGAACATTTTTTTCTCACTTTGTTTGTACAAGTGCATAAATTTATCTATATCTTAAACATAGCATCAATGATGATAGATACTCTCTTTAATTCCACAATTATCTGTTAAGTGCCTCCTGTGCCAAAAACCATCCCCACTCCCAAGGAGCTCATAGTTTATTGGGTAAACAAGCACAAAAATAGCTAGGATACCATGTGATAATGGTGCCATAACAGAGACATATACCAAGTTCCATGGGAGCAATTAATCCTTTTTGAGGTGTTAGGGCCTAGCTCACAGTGGAGGTGACATGTGGGATCAGCCACAAAGAATGAGTCAGCTTCTCCAAGGCCCGAGGAACATCATCAGAGTCAAATTTCAAGGAGGGTATCTTGTTAAGCTATGACCACAAGAATGTCACATCAGAGGAAACACTCTCCTTTTGCTTGATCCTCGTTATTAAAGACAAAAGAGTCGTGATGACTTTCAGGGTTCATCTGCTAAAGTCATTTGATGGTGGTTTTACAAAGCAAATATGTGGTATTTAACTATCCCAAAGCCACCATTCTGTAGCACTTAGGATTCTGAACAACGCGAGTTTCCCCTTTGAGGGCTCATATATAATGAATGCGTGTTACATTAAAGATTATCGAGGATTGTGAGTCTTCTTTTTTATGTGTAAGATTGGTAGCTTTTAAAATATTGATGCATTTGTGCAAGTGACTTGACTGAATTTTTCAGTAAACTCTGGAAAGAAAATGTCAAAGTTGAACAAATTTTACATGAACCCTTTAAAAGAATACTTCTTAAAACGGGTAATATTTGGAGATGAATTAGGCTCCAGATCTCACCCTGGATCTCCAAGTATAAGTAGCTCAAGGGTGCAGGAATGAAATAGCAATGAAGACTTGTGGTAATGCTCCAAGATTTGTTACTGCCTTATTCTATGTGTAACCCATGTTTTCCTACTTTTTGCCTCCAATCATTCTTCCTATGAACATTTCCCATATGCTGACAAATAAGTCTAGTAGCCATTCACATGGTACCCTCTCCTCTCTTCCCATTGCCTAAATTCTTTCACTGTTCACCATGTCCAGCAGGCATTGCCATCTGCCTCCACAGCTGATGCCATGGAGCTGATGTCAGGATGACAAGGCTATTTTGGTGTTACATTGAACAGTTGGGGAGAATGTCTCTCTTCCTTTCCTGACCTCCTCTCTCAGAGAGACAGGACCAAGGCAGACATCCTTGGGCCCCACAGATGGACAATATAGTCAGTGTGGTGGCCCTTTCAAGCTTTACTCACAACCTTTCCATAGGAGTCAGGTGACGTCAGGCCCTGGGCAGGAGACAAGCTGACTGACGGCTCCAAATCTCCCCCCTCTAATGATTAAAGCTTTGTTTCTGGGTCCAGCTTATACCTGGCTGCCTTGCCTGTCAGAACAAGTCCTCACCAAAGAAGTGCTGGGACGACATCATGGAGATGGTCTGCCATGCCATTACCTCAGATAAAGCTAATGAGTCTGACTTTCAGAGATCACTTGACTTAGGTTTATAGGATTCTTGAACTTATTCCTACTTGCTTTAGTTACTGGATGAAAATAGGTTAAGCCTCATAACAAACCTTGGAGGAAGCTAACATCCATTTTTATTTGGTTAAAGATAAGTAAAGGAAGTAAGGGAGGGAAGGAGGGCAAGAGGAAGGTCATCTCAAAACTGTAACTTCCCTCAAGTGACTGTTTGGTAGAAATGTTCCATTTCTGTAACCACTATGCCTAAATCACTCTTATGATTTCAAATATTTTGTGCATTTTCCTTAGAAATAGTAACAGCTAAAATTGATATCACATTTTGCAAAGTCTTTCCATATACATTCCTTCATTTAGTTTTTCTGTATAATAGGTAGTATTGTGATCTCCATTTTCCAGAAAAGAAAATTAAGCAGTCCCTCTCACCCAACTTCGCTGCCCCGCTTTCACTACTAAACTTTACTAACTGTTCAAGCTATACTGAAAACAGCATTTTCTCTAGGAAGACTTACCTGACATCCTTGGCACCTGTTTCAGTACAGCAGAGTACCAGCTGACCAGAAGGAACTGGGGATGGCCAGAGCCCGCCAGACCAATCGCCTCAAGCCTTGAGTTGTCCCACTCACTCCCCGCAATGTCCTATGAGTAATATTGTTTTCCATGTGTGCCGGGATGTGAAAAAGCCTAAGAAGCACTGCCATGGGGTAATGGCTGACAGCATGGGTTTTGAAAGCACTTATTAGCTCTGTGACTTTGGGCAGTTATCTAACCCATCTGGGTATTAGTTTCCTCATCCGGAAAATGGAGATAAGAATAGTGACCACCTATAGAGCACTTACTACCATATAGGTTGTCTCATTTGCTTTTCACAACAGTATAAGGTAGGTGGTGTTATTCTTCCTGTCATACAGAGGGGAAGCCAAGGCACAGGAAGGTGAAAGTCACACAGATGTCAAGTCCTGAACTTACCACTGACAGTATCAGAGCAGTGATTCAAACCCAAGCCCGTATTTATTCGTAATCACTACATTACCCTGGGATCATAATTGAACCTTCCTCACAGAGTTGTTAAAAGGATTCAGTTTGATAATCTATGTGTAAATGATGTTCTCGTTTTCTCAGAATCATAACTGAAGACCAAAACCACCAAGTACTCCTGCTGCTGCCCTGCCGCCTTTACTGAGAGGCACCACTGACAGGTAACTGGCGTTACCACCCGCCATCATCCCACACACACTGCCTCACCACCCCAGCCAACATAAGGGACTTGCAGACCTGCCTCTGTGTAATCAGAGCAGATGAAAGAGATTCGGGGACACAGATGCTGTGCTTGCACTGCTGAGGGAGGGGATGTCAATTTCAAAGCCCTCTTCCCTAGAAAGATGGACTCTGCCCTTGACACCCCAAGAGCTGACTGGCCACACACGGTGGTTGAAATTGGGAGCTACGTGTTGCCATAATTGGCACTGCATGGTGCGTGAAGAGCACTTGTATCAAGGTGTTACAGCAGGATACCACGACTGGGGTGAGGGGATCAGCTGCAGACGATGGCTAAATCTTGCAAGGGGTCACCAGTGCTTAGGGAAACTGCACTGGAGCAAGTCCCTCCCCGGCAGGGCATGTTGAAGCCCCCTGGCGCCCTCACCTATGAAATATGGAAATGGTGATGCTTGCCCCCCGGGATTGTCACAAAGACTACATGAGATAATGTGAGAAACCTTCTGCAAAGTGGACCCACAATTAATGTTAGCTCCCTTGCTACGCTTTTGCTGCTCAGTGTTTAACGCCTGGATAAATACTTCGAGTGTGGAAAGAGACGGGGAGCTTTTCATAATGTCAGATTCAACCTAAAAGGAAAAGTCTGTGTTTGCAGAGTTCTATCTCCCTGGATTACCAGGCAGATTCTGAAATTTATTAACCTTTTTAGTCATTTGTGAACACCAGCAAAAGGACTTCTTTGAATAATCAAAAAACCTCCTCATTCTGGCAGCCAAATAAAAGGAGGCCAGGTGTTCAGGATTAAAAATGCATTACCCCCACCACTGACTTTCTGGGGATGGTGTCAAGAATTTTCTCTTTCATAACATGTACCATTTCTAGAGTAGAGAAAGAGGAGGGAAAAGTGAACAGAGATGATAAGGAGACTTTAGGAAACATGGGGGTGGACAGAAAAATGAAGGGTGAAAGTGACAGACGGAAGACAGGAGAACCCTATTTTTAGCCAGTTACGGTCTTCTTCTGTCCCCTTAAAAATAGACCCTCTTCCTGCCCACAGTGAATGGAGTGGACAATATCTGGGGCTCCATAACACCATTTGTGTATCTGTTTGAAGGCATTGACATTGTGACTCTTAGACAAGGTTGGGTAGGCCTTTTAACACTAGATACACAGCCACCAAATTTCCTCTAGAACTGTTTCTAAGAAAAATGCCCACATTCACACTCTTGTTTTCTAAAATTATCCTTAGCACGAGGCTAAGACTATTTTCTTGAAGTAAAACTAAGACAATTTCTCGTTGCTAATGAAACTAACCACACGCACACGTGTCGAGGCACCATGCTAGGTCTTGACATTCATGGTACCCTTTTGGCAGATGGGGACATTTAGGCTCAGGAAGCGAGCAGGCTGGATCCGGGCCACAGAGCTCATATGTAGTGGAACTAGTATTCAAACCCAGGTCTCATCCAAACCCTGACATTGTCACCTCTGCCCTGTTATCGGCTTTGGAAACCTTTAGCGGCTGCCACTCCAGCACCCGGGCTGAGCTCTGACACTGAGAAATGCAGCCCATGGGAAAGGCAAGAACCGAGCACAGCACTGGTCGCTACCAGAAGGAGGATTGTATTACAAGCCCTTCAGACTTTGTACACAACACGCTCGTGGTGCACCATGAGGCCGTTTTGAGGCTCAAGGATTACTTTGGAAAGGCTTCTGTAATTTCAGAGTTTAATGATATGAAATTAGACCTAGAATCCTCAAACAAACCCATTTCAGAACTACAATACCCCTGGAAATGAGCACTTCCATTAGATTTGAGACCATTACGTATCCATCTCTGTGTGAGGGAAATAGATGTTTTCACGTTAGAACAAATACAAAACATCATTTTCATCCAGTACAATTTCCTGAACTCCTTTTATCCAATTTCCCAGTTTTTTCCGATATTTGAAACTGAAGTAAAGCTTTCCTCTTAGCCCAGTTTCTTGTTCACTTTAACTCCGCAACAAAATTATTCTTAGGTTTTATCACTGGCCTATTTCTTAGATAGGACTTGGGTTTCATTATTTCAACATGGGGTCAAAAATAGAAAAAGATGTTCCAGAAACAGACTTTTGTTATTTTCTTTATAATCATTGAATCTATATGCCATTTTGCCCAACCCTTGTACATTATGTGGGAGATCTTTGAACAATTACAAATCTACTACAAACAATAGTTTCTGGTACTCAGGTAATGAGAAATGTCTTAAAGATGATAAACACAGGTATTCACAATAGATTGAGAGATTAAACAACCTAAACAAAGGAAAAATATTCCCCAATCTTATGTGAACAAAGATTGCATACATCACAATTAGGAAAAGTTTCATATTTTTTAAGCACAATAAAATGTTGTTTAGTCTTTGAGCAGTATTAAAAAATCCTCAGTTAAACAACTACATACATACATTTACTATTTATAAGATATTCTCTAAGACACCATTATGGTATTAGGACGAATAATAAATACACGGGTCACTAACTTCAAGAATCTTTTACTGTTATAGGGGAGGTAAGAAATGTATTTATAAGCTATAATATAAAGATGAATATGATGAGTGCCATAAAGTACAAAGAATTATGGGGGTTCAGAAGAAGGAAGGATTATCTCTATGTGAGATCAGAAGATGGTAGGCCGCCCATTCCAGGATAATGAAATGCATGAGAAAAGATAATACCGTTTGAGGAAACAGTCCCCTTTGAAATTCAAAATGTCAGTGGGAAATACAGCAGGAGCATTAGCCTGAGATTGGACCACAGAAAGCAAATGCCAGATCCAAGGGTTTGGAGGTTAGTCAGTTGGAGAAATATACACTCACTAGGTACAACTAGTATTTCAAACATTACCTATTTTTACCTATTTAAAATATCTCTTTTTTTTAACAGCTTTATTGAAGTATAATTGACATATAATTAACTGTGCATGTTTAAAGCATATAATTTGGTAAATTTTGACATATGTATACACCCATGAAACCATCACCACAATCAACATAATGAACATATCAATCACCCCCAAAAGTTTCCTTGTGCCCCTTTGTAATCTCTTCCTCCTGCCCCATCGCTAGGCAATTGTTGATCTGCTTTCTGCCACTGTAGGTTAATTGGCACTTTCAAGAACTTTGTATAAATGGAATTATACACTATTGACTCTTTAGTCTGACTTCTTTCACTCAACACAATTTTTTGAGATTCATCCATATTGTTGGGTGTATCAATAGTTTGTTCCTTTTTGCTAGTAAGTGGTATTCCATTATATGGATATGCCATATTTGTTTCTTCATTCACCATGTTGATGGGCATTTGCATTGTTTTTAGTTTGGGGCTATTACAAATAAAGCTACTTTCAATATTCATATACAAGTCTTTGTAGGAACATATGCCTTCATTTCTCCTAGATTTTTTTTTTAATTTTTTTTTTCAACGTTTATTTATTTTGGGGACAGAGAGAGACAGAGCATGAACGGGGGAGGGGCAGAGAGAGAGGGAGACACAGAATCGGAAACAGGCTCCAGGCTCTGAGCCATCAGCCCAGAGCCTGACGCGGGGCTCGAACTCACGGACCGCGAGATCGTGACCTGGCTGAAGTCGGACGCTTAACCGACTGCGCCACCCAGGCGCCCCATTTCTCCTAGATTAATGCCTAGCCATGAAGTGGCTGAGTCACCTAGTATGTTTATGTTGCTTTTTAATTAACTGCCATACTATTTGCCAAAATGGAATATCACTTTGCATTCCTGCCAGCAGTATATGAGAATTTCAGTTGTTCCACGTCCTTGAGAAAGGTCGGCATGGTCACCGCTTTTTAATTTTGGACAGTCGAATAGGTGTGTAGTGATATCTTATTATGGTTTTAATTTGCATTTCCCCAATGAGTAAAAACCTTTCATGTTTTTTTATTTGCCACTTTTATAGCTTCTTTGATGAAGTATCTGCTCAAAACTTTTGTCCATTTAAAAATTATTATTATCACTGAGATTTCAGAGTTCTTTACGCATTCTGTGTATAAGCCCTTTATCATACATATGATGTACAAATATTTTCCCCAGTCTTTAGCTTTAAAGAGTAGAAGTTCTTAATTTTGCTGAAGTCCCATGTATCTTTTTTTTTAATGCATTGTGCTTTTGCCTTTAAGGAATCTTTGCCAAGTCACAAAGATTTTCTGTGTTCTCTTCTTGTTTTATAGTTTTATATTTAACTCTATGATCCATGTTGAGTTCATTTTTTTGTATTGGTGCAAGATATGAATTGAAGAGGTTTGGGGGGGAAATGTGGTTTTTTGGCAGATAAATATCTAATTGTTGTAGCATCATTTGTTGAAAAAACTATCCTTTTCATCTAAATACGCTTGTCAAAAATCAATTGACCATATATGTGTAGGTCTATTTCTGGATTCTATTCTGTTCCATTGATCTATTTGTCTACCTTGATGCCAATACCACGTTGTCTTAGTTACTAAAGTGTTATAAAAAGCTTTGAAGTAAGGTAGGTTAAGTCCTCCAAATTGGTTCTCTTATTTCGAATTATTTAAGCTATTCTAGATCTTTTGCATTTCCATATAAATTTTAGAATCAGCTTATTAATTTCTACCAAAAAAAAAAAACACTGGGATTTTTGATTGGGATTGCTTTGAATCTATATAATAATTTAGAGAACTGCTCTCCTAACCATATTGAGTCTTCCAATCTGTAAACACAATATATCTCTGTATTTTGATCTTCTTTAATTTCTCTCACCAATGTTTTATCATTTTCCATGTACCAATCTTTCACACTCTTTCTCAAATTAATCTCCAAATATTTTATATTTTTATGTTACTTTTATATTTCAATGTCTGGTTATTCATAGCTAGTACTATATATTGAAATCCAATGAAGTTTTGTATATAATTTTGTATCCTACAGTCTTGCTAAAGTCAATAATTCTGGGAGCTCTTTTGTAGGTTACATAGGATGTCCTGTGTAAATGATCATGTTGTCTCTGAATAAAGAGAGTTTTACTTCTTTCTTCCCAATCCAGATAGCTTCATATCTTTTCTTGCCTGATTTCAAGACAACTGTGACTCCAAAATCCCAGAATCCCCCCCCCCAAAAAACATGAGGTACTGATTTATAGCTGCTAGCACCGCGGTGGTAGAATTCCTCAAATATGAGTGGAGATGGCCTTCCATCAGTATTAGGACAGCTTAGAAACTCCACACACCGCCCCCCAAGCCACTTCAGTACTAGACCTTAAATTTGCCCTTCTATGACTTTGGCTTCGTGTGTGTGTGTGTGTGTGTGTGTGTGTGTGTGTGTACACGCTTATGTATGCATGCAGCAATTTTTAAAGCCTCCCCACTAAGCTCAGACAGGCCCTTCTAGAACCAGGCCTCCCCAAACTTATTCTAAGATTTTGCATATGGCTTTGGTCATCACTCTGGATTATCCTTCCTATTATGATAAGTTACTTTTCTTTTTTTTCTTTTTTTTTTTAATTTTTTTTTCAATGTTTATTTATTTATTTGGGACAGAGAGAGACAGAGCATGAATGGGCGAGGGGCAGAGAGAGAGGGAGACACAGAATCGGAAACAGGCTCCAGGCTCTGAGCCATCAGCCCAGAGCCTGACGCGGGGCTCGAACTCACGGACCGCGAGATCGTGACCTGGCTGAAGTCGGACGCTCAACCGACTGCGCCACCCAGGCGCCCCGATAAGTTACTTTTCAAAGTAATTTGATGTTTTTGCCAAATGACCTAAGTTGGGTCCATTTTAATTCATCTGATACTTTTCTAATAATATTAAACTTCAAAAAGGAGAGTATCATAGCTTTATCCACTACTTCCCAGAAGGCTTCTTGAACCTTATGGAAATATACCCATCTTTTTTTTTTTTGGAACCTCCCAGAAGGGCAGTATTTGTCAACATAAAACAAAGGTTCTGTTACACACTTTCCTGTAAACAACGGTACCTAGGGGCGCCTGGGTGGCTCATCCAACTTTAGCTCAGGTCATGATCTCACGGTTCGAACCCTACATTGGGCTCTGTCCTGACAGTTCAGAGCCTGGAGGTCTGCCCCTCCTCTGCTCACACTCTGTCTCCCTCTCTCAGGAAATGAATAAACATATAAAATAATAATAAATAAAAGAAAATAAACAATGGTATCTTATTTGCCTTACATCTATCTAAAAGAAACCATTTCTAGAGATTGTTCTCAGGTAAAAGGATATAAATTTCCCAAGGAAATTTATAAATTCTAACACTAGAAATAGAAGCTACTGACAACTTTTAAATAACAACTTATTCTAATTTTAAAAAACTATTAAAGCTTGGTCTCATTGGGCACCCTTCTAAAGAAGTTTTTTCAAAGGTAGGAAGAATATTTTAGGAAGATGAATATAGCAATGATTTGAAGAGTAAATGAGAGGTGGAAAGAGAGGCAGTTCAGGAAGATCAGTTATCAGACTATTATAATAATCCAAGTCATATATAATAAAGATGTCACTCAGAGATAATAGTAATGATGGAAAGAAAACAGTGAATGTATGAGATTTTTTTTAATAGAGAGATTAAATAAGATTTAGGAAATGAACTATGGAGAATAAGGAGACAAGTCAAAAATGGCTAACGGGAGAAAATGGTAGCCCACCTTTAGAAGAAAATGGTCAGTACATAAGAAAATGTGATAAGGGGCAAGTCTGAGTAGAAAGGTGAACAGTTAGATGGTGGACGTGTTGAGTCTGGCTCCAATGTTGAGAGGCAGTAGGAATTATTGGAAGAGAGTTGGGTACAGATCAGGAAACCTGAGTTCAGGTTGTGGCACTTGCCACTGACTTCCTGGGAGATGGTGACAGACACTGTGGGAGCTGGCCCAACATTCATTTTCCACTGTACCTTCTTCCTTTCTAATCTCAAAGAAACCAGATTTAGTTTCTGTATTAACCCAACATCATAGTCCATGTGCTTTGGAGGAGGCTGGACTCAGTCTCAGAGGGCAAATTCTAATTGGTCTAAGTCAATGACATCTTCCATTCCCAGGGCATGTCACAAGCCTGGCCAATGAAGTATGAAGGGCAATCGGCTGTGTGCTTCAGGTTAGTGAACACTCACTCTTAAGAAGAGCTATACTGGATAAGATGGTCTGTCCTTTCAATGGCCATTGTCAGGTACGAATGGGACACTAGGAACCACCACACCCATCTCACCACAAGGAACTGGCCTATGAACAGACCAACGTGCTGAGGATGGCAGAGCCAGTAGAGAGAGAAATTGGGCCTGTGATGCTATCATTGAAATTCTACACTAACCAACCCTCACATGCCATACTCTTGTATTTCTTGTTATGGTAGATCACACATTTAAACCAATTACATTGGGATTTCTGTTATTTGAAGCTAAAGCCATCCTTACTGACCCTGCAGCCCAAACCATTTCCTCTGCACACTATTTCTTCCACTGTAAGTTGAGAATAGTCTCTCTAAGAACTCACCCAGCTCTAACCACCCAGGATGTTATTATTATAGGTAAAAATAGAGGTTGAAAAGGAAGAATGAATATCTAGAGAAAGATCAAAACACAAATATAGATGTAGGAGTCATCTATGTAGTATAAGACTTAGAATCCTGGGGGTAAATGAGATTGTCAGGTGAAACTTACTGATTGCTATACATGTTAACAATAACACCTCGTGTTATCCTCACAACATTCTGCAAAGTTGGCATCATTGCTGTTTCCTATGAATAAACCAAGACACAAATGTCCAGAAAAGTATGAACAGTGTCCCAGACTCTAAGAGATAGTCAAAATTTCAACAGTATCACATGTTTCAAACAGGTCAAGAAGAATGAAGACAAAGAAAAGGTCAAAAGCCTTGATGATTAGGAAGTTCTTAATGTTTTCAAGGTAACTGTTTCCAGAAAGTCATAGGGGTGAAAGAAGAGAGTGAAAAGTGACAGATGTTAAGGAAGTAAAGACCATTTTTATCATAAGTTTAGCAGTCAAAGAAAAGGGCAAGGTACTTCAAGGGAGGAACAAGTTTGAGAGAAAAATTATTTTGTTTCTTGTTTAAGAAGGCCTGACCACACCGGGGGGTAGAGGAAAAGGAACGAATGGAGAAGAAGGGCTGAAGGGGCAGGAGAAGGAGGCCCTCACTGATGGAACAGGTTCTGGAGGACATGGGAGAAGATGTGCTGTTTGGTTTCCCTCTGTTGTCTGCT